ACTGCAATTTAATGAGGTGTTAAGTTCAAAATCAGCATTCAAAAGAAAGAGATGAAGCAGCAGAGTCCCTGACCATGCAAAGAGAAGATCTGTTAGGGCATGCTGCTTTGTTCACATGCATCTGTGCACCATCACACTCAGCCTGTGAACAGCTCTGTGTTTGTGGAGTGAGCGGTGAGGGACATTGTCTTTTGTCAGCTGACAGACAGCAATCCCCTAAATCATAATGAGCCCCTCATTTCTTTGCCTCTCCTGTCTCACTCGCTTCCAAGTGATGATAGCAGAAAAAGCAGACAATAGAGGCTATCAAGGAAACACAGCAGGAAATCATTATTGTAGTGCCACAAAACACCTGTTGGCTGTGTTAATGTTTACACAGCGAGGGAGAAAGGCAGGACTTTAATCTACGATTGCTTCAGAGAAAATTACACCTGGTATCACTTCAGCTTTTTCAGAACTGAGCTAGAGATGTCTGGTAACTGTGCATGTCCAGAGGCAGCAGAAACTTTTAAGGGGTAACTTTATTTCTCAATCACTAAAACTTTCACAGCGTCATCTAAGATGAAGATACTCAGCAGTCATTGAAGTGTACGCGATACCTCTAAATTTCTATATGTTTGCTGATTTAATTACAATGCAAGAGTTCAGCTCATTTGGATCAGTTTTATATACATGAATCTCTTCTTAAAAATTAGGGGTTGTGTCTCATCCAAAAGGACTGAACCACCAACCTCCTGACTGAGAGATGACCTGCTCGACCACAAAGCCACAGCTGCCCCTCAGGGGAGGTCGTGTGGTTTGTGGATTGATTTAGTGCGGATCACTGCAGAGCTTTGAGCAGTACAACCAGAAGTGCAGTATTCAACCATCACATCTTTAATCTGGACTGATGTGTCATTTTTTTAAAGGGGGTTGTTCATTGTAGTCGTGTGGTTGGATGAAGTGCTTGTCCAGGATATTAGTTGAAGGGATTCCGCATAACTCAAACCCTTCAGAAGTTCAGCTAAAGCCAGCTTTCTCATGTAATCTAGCAAAGTTTAAGAAACTTTGACCCAAATATTAAAGTCAGTGTAAGTGCACGCTCTGTTTATAGTTTCCATATGTGTTGCACTCAGCCCAGACCAACCTTCCGGGTACGTACTTTAAAGCGTGAGCTAACATTTTATTACTTTCAACATTTTGATTCCTGTGACTTTTTGTTGAACCAGTATGAGAGACAGAGATATATTTCCCTTATTATTCCCGACAATAGAAACATTATATTGAACAAAACAGGTCAACAACCGTACCTTTGTGCAAAGCCGACCATAAAAAAGGCTTTTGACTGAAACAATGAATAAACTGACATATGAAGAACTTTGTCTTCAAGTTCGTGACATGTTACACTTTCTATATGAGTTTTCCACAAGTATTCACAGCACACTTTGAATACGACTGCACACACAAACACACAGGCGCATACACGCACACTCACAAATAGCTACAGACAAGAATGACCCTCTCAGTGTTGATCTGTCTGATTCCTTCACAAAATGACGGTAGGAGGGCTAGAGTTATCCCGGCTTCCAATCAGAGCCTCAGCATGCAGCAAAGAGAAAAGCCTCAGGTCAAACTCCAACCACCAGGGAGAGAGAGAGGAACACAGAGGGAGCGACAGGTATAGAGAGAGAGGGAGAGAGAGGGAAGAAGCATTACTGTGCATCAGCAGTTAAACAACCTCCAGAGGAAAGGGAACAAATACTTTTGTTCTCAGCAACTTAAAGTTCAAACTCTAACAGAGCAAGAAGCAGGCCTGCACAGACATCACCAGGGGGAGCAGGCATATGTGCTTGTATAGGGTCTAAATTTGACAAACTTAAGGCTGTTCTGCTCTCCAGCTTACTTTAGTGTTAGTATGTCTGCAGAAAAGAAGAGCCACCAACAATAGTTTCTCAAACTCTTCCAATACAGTTTTGAATCGATTTAAGAGGAACACTGATCTATTTCATTTCTCATAGGCGACCATTTAGTTCAACAAAGATATGACCCTGACCATCTTCTTCTGGAAATCTCAGAAGACACTGTTTCAGCATACTGAGGACAAAAGGGCAAAGATTCTATTGTCCACAGGGGGCACCAAGATTGATTCAAACTGTTTTTTGTTTTTTTTTTCAAATTGATTTTTTTAAAATAATCCCCAAATAAGGTGGTAGTCATTTATTTCCTCATGTATAATATTAGGGTTGAACATTAACAGTCTTTACAGGGATTTTTCTTTTTTTTTCATTTTTTTATTGCAGGGTTTTTCAAGGTTGCTGGTCAGTGCGACACAACCTGCAAAATGGCCAATAAAAATCAGCTCAAAACTAGTCCAACAGCCAATGAAGCTAACCTAAAAACAGGGCCGTGCAAGATATCATAATCAGCCCATAAAACACTCATCAGACATAGCTAATAGTATTGCAATCATTATTAAATGCAAGCAGACGGTATATACAAAAATAAACCATTGATGATAGGTATACTAGCAATGATCACAGCTTCCCCTACACAGCTGTTCAACTTGTTTCTCTAATTTCTCACAGCAATGATTGTACAGTGCAGGCAGGCTTATGTCTGGGTGTGCTTGCCTCCTGGCAGGACTAGATCTCCACTGAACCTTTCTTTCAAACAATCAGAAGTGCCCAAATGCGTGGTGCCAAATGTGTCAGACCTTTTTTCTGCAGGTTAAGCAGTGCAAAATCTGTGTGCTAAGAGAGGCATAGGGTGCAAAAAGGTTGTATTGAGTCCCTCAATTATTCATTGGTGTATTTTGGGTGTAACATGAATCAAACTCTTCAGTGTGTCTGCTCTCATTCCTTTTAAGAGTCAGGTGCATCTGTGGGCAGGCCTGAAGAACTGGAAGAATCTCGCACACTGTCCAACTTGTAAGTAAAAACGTTTATTGGCAACGTTTTGGTCTCAGATCTTCCTCAGGCGGACAAATGAAGGTCTGAGACTGAAACCTTCCCTCCTCTGAAGAGGCAGAGAACACACACAGGTTATTGCACGAGTTATCAATGCATGTATCGATGTTAAATCTGCTTGAAATATCCTCTGAGCAGCAGTTAAGCAGTTGGCTATCATAGAGTTGACACATTTACACACACACACTAAGACTCACACTTACAAGCAATTGAGAGTAAGCATTGAACTATTGAAGAGCAAGCAGGGCATGTTCGGATGCATGAGTTCTCCTCTGATCAGTTCGAAAACAGGCTCATTCTGTTAATTGGTCCCATGTTTCTATTTAGTTATAATAAGCTTTTATAATTTTCCTCTTCTACTGCACTTAGGGCCTGATCTACTGAAGGTCTGCATGTATAAAACAATGTACAAACTTGATAGGGTGTACAAAGCTGACCCAAACCCCAGCCAGGTGCACAGAGGATTGCGTCTGTCAAATGAGCAAACCAGCACCCACACTCCATTTAGCATGTTTGCCTTCATGAATATGCAGATTGTATGCAGATTATCAGAACACGCAAAATACAGGGAGGAGCTGATGCAAATGCAATTATTTAACACCAGCAATGTAATTGATCAAACCTTGAAACTGATTGCGGTTGCTGTTTTTGCGTCTATATTTAGCACGTTTAAAAAGCAGATGCAAGTTGGCACAGCGTTACCCACAAATGGCTATACGGTCGATGTAGGGAGAAGGAGGCAAAAGTGCAATGATAGATGACATTAGTGTTATGTCATTAATGAACAATTCGTTCAAAACAGTTGCTGAACTGCTGAGTGAGCGACGTGAATGGAATCAACCCAAGACCTGATTCGTTCCTTTCTCAGTTCAGTTGAGCTCAGCCACGAGCGTGGCGTGCTGGTCTGGAGTGGAACTGCCGCCTTGGACTCTTTGGCGAACAACACACAGCTAGCCAGCCAGCAGGCGGACGGGCGGAGTCTCGTGATTGGCTCACAGCGAATGAATGACCAGTATCAGTCAGACTGTGAACGAAACAAACGACTTTGGAACAACATTGTTCACTGAGGCTAAGATAAAACAGTGCAATTGAAAGCAATACTCTATTTGATATCTTTGAAAAGTATCAGAATCTCTTCCACAGCTGTGATGTTTATTTATTTTTAATCACTCCACTTTTCCGCAATATGAAAGAACGACAACTCACGCTTTTTCGCGGGCGTGCTGCTTGCTGTGTTGTTCCACTCAAGTCTCGATGCAAACGTTGGCGGCCCACAGAGAGGTGAGTTTTTTAGGGCAGGGGAGTGATTCTCCCTTCACGCCTTGGCGAATGAACGTCAAGTCATGAAGGGAGAATCTAACCCAGTGAACGACTGTGACTTCTGCAGCAGGGGAGGGGAGGGGCTTGTTCAATGAACGAACTCCGGATCAGCGCCGCAGTATCACTCACTCGTGTACTGCACCTGGCAGGACGGGGATCCGAAGCACTGACTGATTTGGTGAACAAATCTTTTGAAAGAATCATTTTAATGAAAGGATACTTAAGATTCAGTACAGTCAAAAGAACTGTTCTTCCCATCACTGGAGGACGTAGAGAGCGAGTGCGCATGTCAACATTTTGGACTGTCAGGAATAAAAATAGTAGAGTAATAGTAACGGTTATGGCATTTTTGAGCTGCTGGATGGCCATTATAGATCACCCGATACTAATAGAACATCCATCTTTTCATTTACACACGCAGTTTAGCACTCGTTACGTGGGATCTTAGTAGATCAGGCCCTAAGTGTATTAAGTATTTGAGGGGTAAAATGTGCTGCTCAATCCATATTTGATTTTTGCATTTAGACTTCCATTCCTTCAATCACTGAGGCCGATGCAGTTACCCACACATTTTGCAAAGTGCATAGAAAATCACAGCTAATTCAAAAGAGGAAACTGAAAGCTGAAATTCTGAATGGTTTTTTGATAACCTACTTTTTAGTGTTTTAAGATCAACCATACTCTAGGGCACATGTGCGCACCAACTCCCTTCTCTGAAATTCAAAACAACCTCATCAAAGGGGTTGAACTTCTTCTCTGCTTTAGAGCAGATCAACTCAGAACAAAATTTTCAAGAATTTACTTTGTTCTTTTGCTTCTTGTTTTAAATATTGATATGATTTTACGGCTGCAGTTGAAAGTATAAATTTAAAAAGCGCATTACTTGCTTTCGATCTCTATGTCTATAAGAGAACAACATTAAGCGAGACTGTAGAGGGACACCTTAGGGAGTCCCACTTTTATGACAGACCAAACACCAGAAACCATTCAAAATAGCAGCAGATAACTGAGAGGACAATGTATTCTAGAGATGAAAAGACAGGAAAGACCTGTGAAGAGTTCACAGGAAGCTTTGTTGAAACTTTCAGGTGGTTGATCAATCTCATTTTTCTCTCTTTGCCTGCCTTCTACTTAGAAGTGCTCTTTCTATGTAAGGATGGCCAGCGTATCTGAGGTCCCAAGGTACCAGTCTACTGATGGTAGCCAAAGTTTGGACCGAAACGATCGGAAAAAAAAAAGACTCGCAATGATCTTTGCCCTGAGTATAGAAAAGGCAGCAGCAAGCTTTGAAACTCTCTGAAAGATAGTCCCTCTTGCTGAGTTCAAAGAAGTGGTTATTGTCATGGGGAGATAAGGAAGTGGGACTATTGATCCACTCAGAAAGTTGTCTTTAGATTTTCAGCTGATCGTTTTACTGCTCTGAATCTCCTCAGAGATAGAGTTATAGTGTAAATTAGAGCCTCCGTGCAATATTACAGGACACAATGCACTATTTATTGAACATTCCAGCAATTTTACAGCACTTTTTCTTAAATCAAAACTTCTACATCAATGCAGCAAAACTCGAATTGCAGCAAAACACAATTTTGGAAATAGAAGACTGCTATTTCTTTGAGTGGATGAGTTTTGAATTGGATGTAGAGCTCCATTAATCCACCAGCACGAGCTAAAGTTGATTGCAGCTAAAACTACAGATGTCATTTCAGCTTAAAATGTGCACAAACACTTTACCCAGGTTTCCACTCATTCAGAGCAGTGGAAATAGTTTACCTGAGAGTTGCTTTTTTTTTCTTTTTTGCCACTTTAGAGATGCTTATAGAGGCAGTTTGCAGCTTCAAAGGTTGACTTCTATCTCAAGGGCAACCATAATTCCAAGAAGACACACTTGCACACATGCAGAGGCACACACATCCTTCACAAACATACACACAGTCCAGAGTGCTGTAATAGAACTCTAGGAGGGTTCTCTTCGCCTGATGCATCCTGTTGTTTTTGTTTCACAGAATTTCACTTCTTCATCGTCTCCCCAGCCTGGGTTGTGGGGCATCAAACCAAGGACATTACAAGTGAGAAAAGACATATAAAAAAGAGGGGAAGAAGAAGAAGAAGTGCCAAAGAGAATAAGGGAATAGAAAAATATCAAAAAACCCCAGTGGGCGTGAAAGTAAGGCTGCGATAGAGCCAAGAGGAAAAAGAGCAGAGAGGTGAGAAGTGGGAAAAAAGAAAAAAGCAGAGGAAAAAAAGGAAGAGTCGTGAAAGTGTAAAGTAACATGAGTGAAGGAGAAGTTTCATGCAGCAGGTGACAGAGACAAAGGGACAGAAAGCTGCTGAGATGAAGAACGGGAGTTTCTCTGAGGGCAGTCTTCTCAGGATGGAAGAAAGTGAGAGAACTGAGGAACAGCAGGGGATAGAAACAAAATACGTCAGGAGATATTTGGTCGTCTCTGAGCACTCCTATTACTACACTGTCAACCTTAAACATCTATGATAGCACATCTACAATGATATCATTGTGACATGATTACTTTGTGCTGACTTACGCACATCCTGACAAGTGAGTGCTTTAACCTAATGCTAACAAGCTGAGATGTTAAGGAAGTACAAAGTGTTATCTAAAGCATCACACTACAGCTAAACATATTTGCATTTACTATACTCCGCTGAAGAGAGATCAAAAACTTATCGAAAGAAGTGCTGAAACAATCAAACAAAAAATAAGAGGGGTTTGACTGGTCTCAGTAATGACCAGTGTTGGGTAATAACGCGTTGTTTTGTAAAATTCAGTAAGTCTGTTTCCGTTACCAAACATTGCGTTACTCTGTTACAGGTCAGGGCACAGCATGATGGTGAGCGAGAGGGGGGAGATAAGTTTCTCCCTATGGAGATACATTATTTTCAACTCAAGAGCAAAGGGAAAAGCAACATTTCGGTAACATGCTAACTGTGTCAAATTTTTTTTTCTACAGCAAACAACAGCAACAGCAATCTACTGAAGCACCTAGAGAAGCAGCATGCTTCGACAAAGTTAGAAACTAAGGTACCTAATGCAGCGCCCGAGACTGAGAGTCACAGCAACGAGCACACACCCACTCCACCCACGCAGCAGTGGTTGGAGTTCGAAAGAGGACCCATAGCCAAGCACAACTTGATAAAACAATAGCATGGGATGTTTAATTGTTTATTTGGATATCTTTTAGCACAATTAGGCTATAATTCCAAGAGTCCAATGGTAAAATTTTGGTGTTAGTGTCAAGGTTTGTGTTGGTGCACAACAGATCATATTGCTTGATTAGATTCAGTGATGTGGATGCAAATGAGTTGAAACAGTTGTTTTAACCGACAGTTTGCTTTATTCCACATCAGTACAGAACTGAAGTGACGGCTAGTGGGGAACTCAATCAATCCACCTTTATTTAACAGGAAGAACATTTTGCAAGACCCTTAGCACTATGGCCTACCTCATAAACACGAGTGCGTTACCATTGAACCGGCTCAGACAGCGCCTGAGTTAAGGTCTACGTCACATGCTGAGGAACCATGGAGATGAGAAATGGGCTCAGAATGGAGAATAAAATGGAGAATCTAACTGATTCCACCAGTCAGTTAGATAAAAGTACATTGGAAAATAGGCTTAAGGTTGTAAAAGCAAAGCTCCCCAAAAAAAGCTCCCCAAATGCATATATGAATTCAACCCAAGACCATGAGTCAAATTAACTCGAAGATTGGGTTAACTTGACATTTACAAAGGGTTATAGAGTCAACCCAGAATGTTGGGTTAATTTGAACAACCCAACATTCTGGGTCAAAATAACCCAATAAGTAGTCTGTCCCTTTTCAAGCCTGGTGTTGGGGTTTTTTAGAGTGTAATGATACCATCATGTAACCTACTAAGACCACTACAGCACAAGAGAAATTGTTGAAATGGTTTATAAGTTTTCTTAGTGGCTCTTATGAGAGAGGATTTGACATAGGATTACAGCAGACGTAAAGAAAAGCATGTGTTCATTCAGCCGGCAGAGTTTTGAAATGCTTGCAGTAGATATTACAAGGATAACATGGGGAGAGGGTACGGTGCACATACCACACAGCAGTAAAGGGCAGAACCAGCACAAAGATAACAAGATAAAGATGGAAGTATAAGAGACACAAAAAAGGTGAAATGGAAAATGAAACAGCATCTGTGAAAAAGATAAATAGACAGAAAAAAATATGATTTTCAAGGTTTCTATTTGGTGCAACATGGTTCCTGAGCTGAGCAGTATTGTTGTTAAACTGTTTCAGAGGCTCTTCAATTCGGTCTTAATGACACAGGGTGAGGCGCACATCATCACAGCATTTTCTCCCCCTCCCCTCTGAACTCCAACAGGCAGGCCCACCCTACATTATTCAGCCTTGTCAAGCTGTGGATGGAGGAAATCTCAGACAGCTGCTTCATTGGGAAATGTTGTACCTGACCTTTGAATCAGGAGAGCAAGAATGCTACCGTTGACCTCCCATGTGGTGCGTGAAGGGGCTGGGTCGGAGGTCACAGCTAAGCTCTCGGGCTGGCAGAGGGAATGAGGTTGTGATTGATGTGGGAATGCAGAGGGGTCGAGCCCTGCTCTCTCCATCATGAGGGGTACACTGAAAAGTGTGATGCAGTGTTATGTATACACACACAGTGCAGGCACACATGGAACACCTCAGCATACATTTCCCTTTTTTAGAGGTGAATACATCTGTGTCAACTGGAGCTTTTCCACACCTGACAGCTCACACACCTTCTCTGCACTGTCCATCAATCCCGCCGTCTGCTGCTGACGCTAATCAACTCTGACAGCCAAAACTCACCTCCCTTTCCATCTCTTCATCCTTCCATCTTACTTAACCTCACACTCACTTCTCTCCATTTATCCGCCTCTCTCCCTTCGTCCTTGGTGTTACTCAAAAGTCCTGCCGTGTCAACCGGTGACATTGCAGAGATTATTGTATTTCTATCTTTCTGGTTTTTTACACACCAGGGAGCAGCTTTCTAAATGACTCAATTAAAACGGAATTATGAACCCACTACAATCACAGATCTGAGAGAATTGCTTACATGGGGTGATTTTCTGTAAACTAATGTCTTAACTCCCCCTTAACTAGCACTTCTTGTCTTATTTTTTCTTTGCATGAGGAAACCAGCAGGAGAAACATCATACTGACAATCTTAAATGAGCTAAAATAGCCCTAAGTGTCTGTAAATGAATCCCTGTAGTTGTTTACTGCTACTTTGACATGATAAGCTCCAGCTCTGTTAAATGCTGATAGCTGAGTTCAAGACGAGCAGCTTCAGAGCAAATTACTGTACATGCTTTAAATATAGGGGCATATTTTATAGAAAAATCACGGTCTTGTTGAGTCTTTTCTATTTTTTCTAACTAGCTGCCTACACCTTCCCGCATCTTTGTCAACCTTCGCCTCTCGATGTCTCCAGTTTCTTTCATCCTTTTCTTTTCTCCATTGGATAACTTCTCATTAGGAATTAAAGACCTGATAGCACTGCTGTAAGGGGTTAATGGCCGGGTAGACCCTGACCACAGAGGCCTTAATGGAACTAGAAACAGGTTCAGCAGAGGTGAGGAGACTCTGAAGAAGCCAAGACACCACTTATAGAGGCTCACACGGTGGGAGAAGTGAATGTACAATTAAGACCCATTTCATTTGCGGCCCCTCAATTCACTCAGGCAGTTATAATAGATTGAAAAACTTAATTTGTGTGAAGCTTCCTGCATATGAAGTGCGAGCAGAAATTAATAAATTTAAATGTTTTTCTTTTTTCATATTTATCTTTTTCTTTTCTTCCTTTGCTTTCCCCTCTCTCTGACAGGCTTCAAAAGTCTCCTCTCTCTCAATCCGTAATGACAAATTTTGTTTGTTATGCCAGTCAACTTAAATGCACAAGAAAGCTCATTTGCATGTAAGTTGTTGCAGGTGCCACACATGCACCTGCACACACAAACACAACATAATCAGACGACTCCGAATCCAAATCCTCTTTCCTCCTCCTCCCTTTCCCTCTGTGTAATAAAAATGTTAATTGAAACAAAGTCTGCCAACAGATATATGATTATGTGAGTGTGTGTGTTTGTGTGTGTGTGTCTGTGTGTGAGTGTGAATGAGAGTATGATGAGAGTGTGTGGTGGTGGATTTAAGAAGGTTTTCCATCATTCTCCCACACTTACTTGGGTCTTATCTGTGGATTATTTAGGTTGTATGTGTATATGTGTGAGTGTGTATGTGTGCGATTGTTGCAGTTTGTGGTGATGCACTGTAATGCTGAGGAAGAGAGCTCAGGCTCGGCAAGGAAAGTCATTAATTTTTATCTGCCCTGACGATTCAACTGTAACTTCACAAACAACAGAGCCCACACCAGTGAACACACACACACGCACACACACACACACACACACACACACACACATACACACACACACACACACACACACACACACACACAGGGAGACCATCTAAACAGACACAATCAGGTACTAAGGTCACCGTCATTTCTCTAGATCCAATATGTGAACGTTTCCAACATGACTGTGAGTCTACATTATGACATCAACACAGGTTACAATAAAACCTTATTCAGAATAAAAGCAAATTTGTGTAAAAAGCAAACTTTGAAGTTGTCCTTGCAATGAGAGAGGCTCTATTTTATATATGACCAATAAAATGCCCCTAAAGGAGACTCTAATGTGCTAATCCAGATTTTAATACACCCTAAATCCTTGACTGTGTATTGACTTTACAACATTTTACACTGACACTTACAGGGTTAAAGCCACAGACTGATCTAACTTCTCATTATTATTAAAGCAGTATTGTCAAAGTAGCACAAACAAACTGAAATACACAGATGTAGTATTTTCAAGTAATCCAGCAGCAGGTATGTCGTCCTCATCACTGAAATGTGCCATAACTCATGGATATTGCGTTACAAATACAATCGAGTCCCAGCACGTGGTAAAATTTCACTCTGCATGTGGATGCTGTCATCAGTGTTTGTGGATTAGGTGTTATTTGCATTAAGGCTTATTCTAGGAATGGAAAGATTAGTGGTCGACAGGTAACAGGTTTACAACAGCCAATGCTAATGCTAATAATCAAAGTGCAGCTCTTTCATTGTTGTTTTATTTTTGTTTGTTTCTTTTATTTTTGCATTTGATAAAACACTAATAATTGAATGATATTGACAAAGAATAAACAAAATGAATGAACTTGAGTCGCCATTTGACTAAATATACTCAGACAGAAAATTATTCAGTGCAGTAAAATAGTGCCATGGGGGACTTTTGGATTCTTTCTTGCCACATTAAGGTTAGAAAAATGATTTCATGCACATAACAAGTATATAATAAATATGTAGGCTTGAAACGATTCCTCGAGTACCTCGATTACAAAAAATGATTGAGGAATTTTCTCTGCCTTCGAGTACTCGTTTATAAATTCAAATCATCACTGTTTCGCATGGATTATTTTCAGGTGACACAACTCGCTTACGTCACCACGGTAGAAGAAGGAGTAAGCGCGGTTTTGGTTTTGCAGAGCGGAAATAATGAATAATGAGAGGGGCTTTTCTTCTGCATAGCTCCAGCGGCTCATCAGCACTTTGCCTCTGGGTCGTGGGCGGAGACAGCGCTTCTCTGCACACTCCTCTTCATGCTAGCATGCAGCCTAACACTGCCGGTGTAGTAGCAGAAGCAGGTAACATAGGAGTTGGTCAGCTCGCGGACTCTAATGTGTTTAGGGACATGATGAAAGCTAATATCATAATAAGCTTTCTTACGAGCATTGCATTCCACTAACACTTACGCTTGTTCCACAATTGCCCTCTCTACTTCTCCAAGTCAGGCCTTCATAGCGGGGCTCCGGGGTTGGAGCCTGGATTTGTGATGTAGGAAATCTCACTGTATCTGAGTCTGCTGTTTGGGTCCAATTACTTGATCAATCAATGGAATATTCGGTAAAATACTTGATTACTAGGATTTTTTATCGCTGCAGCCCTATAAATATGGTAATGATGGTTGGTAACAAGTTTTTTGATTGTGACATTTAGAGGACTCATGCTGATATTTTTCAGATTATTTAAAAATGCTCCAAATCAGAATCACAAACTTTAGGTCACATTCTGACAACAGATTATGTATAAAGGGGGATAATGAGAGTGCTAATGGTTTGTCTCAGACATTTTACGTAAAAGCATAATTTAGATTTTTTTTTTTTATGACTACAAAGCCATGTGAAAAGTCACACCCACAATCTGAGTCTATCTCTGAATCAGTGGGGAAGCAACCCAAACAAAGCGTCCCTGGCAGAGGCTGAATAGTGCTGGAGTTATGGTGTTCATGGACCGGTTTTAGATGAATAAGGAGTTTTTGAGCTGCAAAACACGCTAAGCTACTCAATAGGTGTCCCAGACTGACATAATAGGAGGTGAAAATGAGCATAATAGGCACCTTTTATAAGTAAAGACTCAATCCCAGTAAATATAAAAGTTTTCACAGCATATTGGCCTGTCAGAAAGCTTCTAAGGTGAAAGGCTGTTATATAGTGAGGAAAACTTTGGAGAGTCTTTAAAGTTTCTTACACTGAGTGAAAGAAAAAAAAAAAAAACTGTAAGACAGTGAGATAGGAGAAACACCCTCCAAACACCGACTATGAGTAAATGAAACACTACGCAGATTGAATCATGCTGTGATCATGTTTGCACTAACATCTACCTGCAAACACAAAAAGGAAATATCACAGGAAATGAGAGTGATTGCAACATTAACATATTTGACAACTGGAGATGTGTCACTGTACCACTTTTGATTCTGTTGTCACAACATGTGAGCCGAGAGAGGCGGGGAGGAAGATGTCATATCATTGTCATGTGCTTAGCTGACATGCATGGCTTTGGAGAGCTGTGATTTGAGTGTTATCAGTTTGAATTACATATATTTCCTTAACTGATTACCATTTAATAACTCAAGTTCAAATCCTACTAAAATGTGAGCTTCATGCAGGCGGTGTCATTCATTTTAAGACAACATTGTACTGATAATTTTGTGTTTCTCAGGGGTGAGAGTGAGTCGGTACACAGCGATACGCCGTACCGGGAAGACATAAACAGCAGTTCACAGCCGGTATGCAGGGGTACACAAACTTTCACCCCTGCTATATATCTAGGCTATATTTGCTTCCCTTGCCGCACGTCAGTCTGCACTCTGCATTGTAACTGTTGTAGTCCAATAGGGCCATGCTGCTTGTGACTCACTGCTGTGAGTCATATTTGCTTCCACAAACAAACAAAATCCAGAAATGGGAGTGCTCAGTGCGCACTTTTGATTGGACACTGGTTGCCTAGGCACTGGGGACCACCTCCCGCCTTTTGCAGAAGAAGGGAACTTTTAAAGAGACAGCTGCATCAATCTTAATGCAGAAATAAAACAAAATGCAGAGGAAAATTAATATTATGTTCAAGAGAAAGAGAGATGCAGCAGATGATGATACTGGGGCATCAGAGTCGGCACCTTGTTGAACTTGGGTGTGGTCCTCTCGTTCAAAGCCTACGGGTACTGTACCTGCAAGAACCTTGTCTGACTTTCACCCCTGGTGTTTCTCCTTTCAATGTCCCTCACTAAATGTTCCTCTCTTATTATTTGTTCCTGTGCAGGTTTAGGCATTTCAGTAACTGTTTTAAGATCCTGGCTGTCTATTGTCTAGGGTTGCCCAAGGTAAAATATTTTCTACTAGTCCACCATTATTTTGACAGACATGAACCGACTCTATTGTGCAACAACCTTCTGATCACAGAAAGCCAAGGAGAGGCAGAAAAAGTGACCAGCTATAAAGTATTCCTGGAACTTTTGCTGGAAACAGATCTTTATGATCACAAGTGTCCACTGCCCTATGACAAATGGTAGGTGCACTATCCCTATTCAGCCTGATGATGCCACATATTTATTTCTAGTTGCATGTTTACAATCAGCATGTACAGTAATTGAGAGTGTTGTAGACATTGTCTGAAGATAGACATGAGGCTGTACTTGCTTTACATCTTTATGTTGTTGTTTATCGTAGTGTAAAACTTGTGTTATCTGTAAAATGTCTTACAAAATAAAATGTTCAATTCTTATTTTCTCCATCTGATCAAATGTGTCATTTGTTTACTTCATGACTTCAGAGAGTTTGTCTGCAGCATCCATAACAGTTTTCTTCCTCTTTTCATTAAAGTGTCTCAGAGGGAGTTTGTTTAGCAGGTAATTTTTTCTACTTCTTTTTTGCTACAGATGTTCTCAACATTCGAGGATTTGTGTCAACTGCTGTGATCACTTTTCTGGTCCGAGAAAGTGCTTTTTAGATTGACTGTGAGAAATCAAAATGATTAAAGTTGAAAAAATAAATCTTTTTGTAAAGTAAAGAGATAGCAAAGTCTTATAATAGCAGAGATAGATGATTTCTGTATTGATTCAAGAATAGGTCAGCTGTATTAATGAAGACAACATAAGACTGTCCAATAATTAGTTTTCTAAATGTTCATCTTTGAGTATCCCAGAGTGACCAGAAAAACTCTTTCACAGAAGCTGCCTGGATGTCCCCGAATGTCTGTGTCATCTGTAGAAATAAGGTAAGAGCAGTTTGTTTCCTCCCCCTCATCACTGAGACCTCATCACAGGATTTACACTGTGACTGAATATGGAACAGAGAGTTAAAAAGACTCCTGCATCTATGGCCTTGTATTTTTCCCAGTATCACTGTTGCTAGTGTACAGTACCACTAAATGAAAACCCTTTAGGACAAATTTCATGTGAGACTATTTGGAGGTCATACTGTCTGTAATGTATGATCTGTAATTCCAGACTGCTGCACTGCTCCGAGAGAGAAGTGAATTTACAGCAGATTTACTGAGAATTTTAGCCGCCTCCATCTCCTCTCAGTCGTCTCAGAAAAAAATAGTCAATGGTTACTGAATGATTCAATCCTGAGGGTATTTTTCTGTCACTATGATTTGAGTTGACATTGCTTTCAGTCATTTAAGAAAGGACTGCTGCTGTCAAACTGGTAGTTGTTATTTTGTGCCATAGCAAAGGGTAATACATTTGGTATGGACTCATCCCACTTTATAAATCTCCAGGGAACATATCTGGATGTTCAAGCTTATGGTGGGGGTATTTTACATTTTTCAGTCTCATGCTTCCTTTCTTATTTATTCTTTAAAAGCTTTACACGATTTTCAGGTTAAAAAAAAAAAAACTGAGTTTAAGAAAACCCTCATTTCAGCTTCAGTCTGAAATGCTTCATTTTGCTCTTGTCTTTAAGCCCCACATACTTTCTTCTGATTGGCCACCTCTCTGGAGGCTGGCAGAGAGCAGAAGTCTAAGTTTTGGGCCCGCCAACTCTAATGTGGTCATAGTAGTGGTGTCAACTCACACATTGCTGGGGTCAGTCCATTCCGCTGTGCTGGAAACATTAATGAATAAGTTAGGAGAGCTTGTTTCCAATGACATCACCAGTTTGGTAAGTCTTATAGCGGTGACGTGAGATCTTGTGTGATTTCCAAACAAACTGTTTTGAGCAGATTTTTACAAGAATCGCTTAATCATTACTTGAAATTTTGCATATCTTTTAATATGGACACCTAACATTGTAACTAAGCATTTACTTAGCATGTTGTAAATGTGTAAAAGAACAATATTTCCTTTTTAAAGATGTTAGCTATACGTTTGAATCTACGCGATACATGATACATAGAAGAAATGTGACAAAATGTTTATAATTCAAATACAAATAAAATAACAAATACAGCTTCATAAATGGAAGAAATAGGAATAAAGAAAACTAAGAAATTATGGAACATAATCAAAAAATAAAAAAAATAAAAAATATATATTGCATCTAATTTTTTGAGGTAGTAAAGTTTATACTTTAGTGTTGAGGTGTTTTGTTTTTTTTTCTTCTAAGTTTTCTCTGCTGTCAAAAAAGTCCATCAGCCATCTTCATAAAGACTCCCAGTCTGAAGAGTTGCTCATGGTGATAAAGCTCTATGATAATTTTTAGTATCATGACATTTTCCAAGAGTTTCCCCAACAATTTAAGACTAATCTTTAAAAAAATAAAAGTCATTTACAACGAATTCCAGCCCATAAGAGAGCACCTAATGTGAAACTGTTAGAGGAAGTGAGGAAGACTTTTAGGTGGCTTAGGGGCTTCTCAAACTGAGGAGGAATCAGCAGAATAACAGAGAAACAAGAGTGAGCTCCCTACAAACACTGAATAACAGTGAGTTAATTCCAACAATCCAACAAGATAACACAATATTGCCAGAAACTAAAGTGATCATAATTTTTTTAGCAACTGGAAAATAGCATCTTCTCATAACAGGTGAGCCATGTATATGGAAGCTTTTTTTTGGAGGCGTAACAAACCATAGAAGCACAAAATAACACAGACAGCAACAAGCTGCACAAAGCAATTAAAACAACTGCATTATAAGGTTTATAATTTCACTGAGACATCACACTCTAATCAAAACAGAAAAGACAGAAAAAGCTAAAATCAGTCTGTCATCAATGTACTGAGTCACAATGTTGTAAGAACTGAGGCCTGACAGTCACAGACTCGACAACCCAGGACACCAGAGGTATTAAGAAAACTAAAAATAAATAAATACAATAAAAAAGCTGTGATGATAATAATAATAATAACAAATGAAATTTAAAGGAATCCAATTTTAGTGTTTTTTTCAGTCAAAAATACCTCATTAAACATCTAATTTGATCCTCATTCATGTGACAGATCCAAAAAAATCATAATTCAAGATATTAAGCGCAGACAGGACTTAATTACCTGCAATAAATCACCCAAAGCTCCAAACAGAAACTCATATTTTTACTTACATTTTTTTCCCTCTTTTTTTCTGACAATAATCCTGTGCTGCTGTTTATTCAATGGCAAAACACTGTTATGACTGGGGTCATAATTGGTTGAGTGTCTGCTGGGTGTGTGTGCTCTGTGTTTTCTCTGTGTCAATCTTGTATGCAAATAGGTGTGTGCCACAGCAACGCGGTCATTGGTGGGATGGACTACGCCCTGTATGGTGATTGGCCGAGACCAGCTATATCAAGAACCAAGATGGCAGCCACCATGTGCAGAGGCCAGGCGTTCCTCATCCTCCTCCTCTCCCAACCGGCCACCCTATTTTGCAGCTTAAAGACTATGGTGTATTGTGTTCTGTTTTCCTTTAGTAGTAGGGGTGGACTGCCAGTTTTGTTAACATTATTTTCTCCTGTATATTTTAGTTAGGGAGGTAAGTCTTTGTCATTTGTTTCCTTTGTTTTGGTTAGGTTAGCATTACTCTACAGACAGGATCGTTTTGGTTGTTGTTTTGGCCTTGGTCCACCCTGAAGTCTAGTCATCCAGCCTTAGTTCCTTTGTCGATCTTTTGTTATTTCCTGAATTATGTAAATAAATCTGTGTTTTAAAATTGAGCTGAAATCTCGGTTGTTGTGGCTACTTGGGACTTGGGGATGATGAGGCCTTCTCATGTTGTGCCCTAGGCACCCCTAGACTGGGGCGTAACATGAATTGGGGGCTCGTCCGTCTTCTTGTCGCGTTTTCTTCGGTGAGTATGTGTTTTTCTGGTTGGTAGTTTTTTTTGTGTGTGGGGGGAATTATGGATTTTTCACTGGATGATTTTATGGCCAGTCCCTCTGTTGCTAAAATTGAAAAGTGTAAAAAAGCAGACCTGTTGATTGTGGCAAATTTCTTTAATGTAAAAGTACCATACAATGTCAACAAAGCAGAGCTCAAACAGTTGCTGTGTGCACAGTTGGTGGAGCAGGGCGTCTTACCTAAACCAGCGCTTGATGCGGTTGCTGCGGGTGATGTGGCTAGTGTCGCACCGGGGGCTGAGGTGAAAGCGGCGGGGGCTGCTGGCACGCTCGCTGCTGGTGCGGAACTTGGGCCGGTCACGGATCCTCTCATGGGTACCATGACCACAGAGGATCTCCGCATAGCACTCCAAATAAAGGAGGCAGAGACCCGAAACAAACAGCTAGAGGTACAAGCAAAGGAGGCAGAGACCCGAAACAAACAGCTAGAGGTACAAGCCTTGCATCTACGCTTAAGGGTTCTCGAGCTGGAAAAAGGAGCCTTTGCAGCCTCTACCCCAGTGCCTCCTGTTGACCGCAGCTCTGTTTCTGCTCCCGCTTTTGACATAAGTAAGCACATTGCTTTAGTCCCTCCGTTTCGTGAGTCCGAGGTGGACTCGTATTTTAGCGCTTTCGAGCGGATAGCTGCTGCCCTGAGTTGGCCTAAAGAGTTCTGGTCCCTTCTCCTCCAGTGTAAATTAGTGGGGAAAGCTCAAGAAGTCTGTGCCAGTCTGTCTATCGAGGATAGTCTTGATTATAAAATCTTGAAAAAGACTGTGTTGCAGGCCTACGAGCTGGTCCCTGAAGCCTATCGGCAAAAATTTAGAAATAGTGAGAAAACTTCCAACCAGACCTATGTTGAATTTGTGCGTGACAAGAGCGTTCTGTTTGATAAATGGTGCCACGCGTGTAATATTAAAACTATGGCGGAAATGAGAGAGCTCATTTTGCTCGAGGAATTTAAAAAGTGTTTGCCGGAGCGAATTGTCGTATATTTGAATGAGCAAAAGGAGTCATCGGTAACGAAAGCAGCTGTGCTCGCCGATGAGTTCATTTTGACTCATAAAAGCGCTTTTTCTTTGCCAACCCCTCGTGTTTTACATCCAATGTCTGAGCGCAGAAACCGATCGCCAAAGCTGATGCGTAAAAGCACCTCACCAGCTGCGGGTGAGAGCCGCGAGTGTTTTTATTGCCACGAGCCAGGCCATTTGATCGCTGCATGTCCGACTCTTAGAAAAAAAGGACAACACAAAAACGGTAAACCTCCTGCAGGTGTGGGTTTCATTAACACCGTGTCCCCGCCTGTAACACTCCCGGAGTCTTTACCTGAAGCCGAGGTAAATGTGGAGGTTGACCCTCGTTTCAAACCGTTCGTTTCACAAGGATTTGTTTCTGTAACTGGCGAGGAAGCGGATAAAGTACCGGTAACTATTCTCCGAGATACAGCCGCCTATCATTCATTCATTCTGGCTAGTGTTCTGCCACTCTCAAATGAAACTTCATGTTTCTCGGATTTGTTAGTGTGGGGAATTAAAATGAGCGAACTTAACGCCCCACTTCACATGATTCACTTGCATTCACCGCTCGCGTCGGGGCGTGTGAAAGTTGCCGTGCTCCCACGGTTTCCGATTAGTGGCATTTCGTTTATTTTGGGTAACGATCTGGCCGGAGGAAATGTGTTTCCTCTGCCAGAGGTCGTTAACGATCCCATTTCGGTTGCGTCTGCCTGCTGCCCCACCTCTGTTTCTTCTGCTGTGTCTGTGCCAAATGTGTTTCCTGTGTGCGCAGTTACGCGCGCACAGGCTCGTAAATGGGGTAAAGCTGGGGATTTATGTAATTCGTTTATGGCTACGTTAGATGAGGGTGAGCCCTCCTTTTCAGTGTCCCCCGCTACTGAGTGTGAAAATGTATCAAAATGTGTCTCTGAGCCTGATGTGTTTCCTGCTGACGCAGAATTGAGTTTAAACGTGACCCGAGAGATGTTGATAAATGCTCAGAGAAATGATCCGTCTCTAAATTTGTGTCTGTCCTCTGTTGTAGCCGCCGAGGACGACAGCCAGACTTGTGTGTTTTTCGTGGACAATGGTGTCTTGATGAGACGGTGGAGTCCCGACTCCAGGGAGATACCCGTTGTTAATCAGGTGGTTGTGCCAACAGACTATCGAGCGCAAATTTTGAGTCTGGCACATGACTCCAGCTTAGCTGGCCACCTCGGTGTTAAAAAGACATATCATCGTGTGTTGCGCAATTTTTTTTGGCCTGGGTTAAAAACTGATGTTGCGAAATATTGCCGCAGCTGTCACGCATGTCAAGTGGTAGGAAAGCCCAATCAACCTATTCCTCCCGCACCCCTGCATCCTATCCCGGTGCTAGGGGAGCCGTTTGAACGAGTGTTGATAGATTGTGTGGGTCCGTTACCAAAAACTAAATCAGGACATCAATACATCTTGACTGTGATGTGCGCTGCGACGCGGTACCCTGAGGCCATCCCGCTGCGCTCTCTCAGAACAAAACCAGTTGTGAAAGCCCTCACTAAATTCTTTTCAACTTTTGGCTTGCCTAAAACTATTCAGACTGACCAAGGTACAAACTTCATGTCCAAACTCTTCACACAGGTGATGAAAGAGCTAAAAGTTAAACATGTCACATCAAGTCCTTACCACCCAGAGTCCCAAGGCGCGCTTGAGAGGTTCCACCAAACATTAAAATCCATGATGCGCAAATACTGCCTCGAGTCCAACAGAGTGGGATGAGGGCCTCCCTCTTCTGTTATTTGCTGTGCGTGAAACTCCTCAAGAGTCTTTAGGTTTCAGTCCCTGTGATTTGGTTTTCGGCCATACGGTGCGCGGTCCCCTTCGGCTCCTCAAAGAAAAGTGGTTGGCAGAGTCGCCAAAAACTGAGCATAATGTGCTGGATTATGTCAGTTCTTTCCGTGAGCGTCTCAGCCATGTGTGTCAGTTAGCTCGTGACAATTTGGCACAGAGCCAAACTAAAATGAAGCGTTGTTATGATAGAAAGTCTGTCCTCCGTGTGTTCCAGCCAGGTGACAAAGTTCTGGTGCTGCTTCCACTACCTGGGTCCAGCTTGCAGGCTCGGTTTTCGGGTCCCTATACGGTGGAAAGAAAAATTAGTGACACAGACTATGTTGTTCACACACCAGATCGAAAACGAAAATCCCGAATATGCCACATTAATATGTTGAAACGTTACTTATCTAGAGTGAGTGATCCACTGCAGTCTCCCGCTGTGCCCGTGATGTCCGTGTCCGCTGCTCCTCCTCAGTATCATCTTGGTGATGATGGATTGGCAGAGAAAAGTGGTTTGATGCCGGCCGCTCGTTTGAGAAATTCAGAAGTCCTGAGTAATTTGGAGGGTTTTTTGTCCCATTTGTCCGATTCGGCCCGTGCAGATATTGTAGCTTTAATCGAGGATAACCTGTTGCTTTTCTCTGACCATCCCAGCCAAACCTCGGTCCTGTATCATGACATCGACGTGGAGGGCCACAAACCCATTAAGCAACATGCATACAGGGTAAATCCGACTAAGCGGGCCATGATGCAGAAGGAGGTGAGCTATCTGGTTGAACATGGTTTAGCAGTTCCCAGTACGAGCGCGTGGAGCTCCCCCTGCGTTTTGGTTCCGAAATCCGATAAAACACCTCGTTTTTGTAACGATTACAGAAAGGTAAATTCAGTCACTAAAGCCGACTCCTTTCCTCTTCCCAGAATGGAAGATTGCATAGATCGTGTAGGCTCCGCTAAATATGTGACAAAGCTGGACCTGTTAAAAGGTTACTGGCAGGTTCCTTTAACACCACGGGCCTCAGAAATATCCGCTTTTGTCACATCCAACACCTTTCTTCAGTACACGGTCATGCCATTCGGGCTGCGTAATGCTCCCGCTACTTTCCAAAGGTTGATGCATCGCGTATTATCTGGTGTAGAAAATTGCGAGGCTTATTTAGATGATGTAGTTGCCTACTCCTCCACCTGGTCCGAGCATCTCCACACACTGTCCCTCATCTTCAGCCGTCTTCGTGAGGCCTCTCTCACGCTTAACCTTGTAAAGTGTGAGTTCGGAAAAGCCACTGTTACCTATTTAGGAAAACAGGTTGGTCAGGGGCAGGTGCGTCCGTTGGCCGAAAAAGTGCAAGCGGTTATTGATTTCCCGGTCCCACAGTCCAAGAAAGCGCTGCGTCGTTTCCTCGGAATGTGTGGGTATTATCGTGGTTTTTGTCGAAATTTTTCTGAAGTGGTGGCTCCTCTCACAAGCCTTGTAAGTCCATTGAGAGCTTTTGTTTGGTCCCCGGCTTGCCAGGCTGCCTTCGAGTCTGCCAAGGCGTTATTGTGTAGTGCCCCTGTCCTGGCCGCGCCCTGTTTTTCGCGCCCTTTTAAATTAGAGGTTGACGCCAGCGCGTGCGGGGCAGGTGCTGTTCTGTTACAGGAGGATGATCAGGCTATTGACCACTCGGTTTGTTATTTCTCCAGAAAGTTTAATAAGCACCAGCTTAATTACAGCACTATCGAGAAGGAAGCTCTCGCCCTTCTACTTGCCTTACAATATTTTGAAGTTTATCTCGGGTCTAGTTCGCAGCCTGTCCACGTGTATACGGATCACAATCCATTAGTATTCCTTGCCCACATGCGCAATTCTAA